AGTTTATCTGCTTCAGGTTTCCTTCTACAGCTCTTGGCTAAAGCTTTCTTGTATAATGTAATTTTAGTGAGTCATGAAAATGTGCCTCTCCTCCATCCAGTGCCAGGGAGTGCCTCTCCTCCGTCCGGTAGAGGGAGTCTACTGTCCCATGATCCTCTTGAGGTGATGACAGTTTTACCTCCTCTAAAATGGCAGCACTGGGCGTGGTGCCTTAAAAATGAACAAATCCATTCATATTTTATAACCCACACATGACAGGCTTTTATTCTGTGGTTTCAGTGCATCTATGGCTAGCAACAGAATGTGCAACAAGCCAGGGCATTTTAAAGTGAAAATGGCCGAAGTGGTGTCAGCCATCAGAGTTTTGGCAAAAGGAGCTGTTTCCACAGCACTGTGACACCTGAGGGCAAGTGTGGTACTTTGGGATAATTTTAAGCTGTGTTTACACTGTGAAGACAATTCACTTGGGGTGTTTTTAAAGACATTCCACATCCGATCAAAACACCAGATGTCTCGACTAAGTTCTAAAATTGGTCTTGAAAACAAGTTGGCACTGACTACACCAGCAGCCAAAGTGTTTTCCACCCTGGTCAGGAATGAGATCAGGATGGATCTGTTAGCAACGTGCACTATCTACAAAAGCATCCAATGAAGTGAGCGGTAGCTCGTGAAAGCTTATGCTCAAATAAATTTATTAGTCTCTAAGGTGCCACAAATACTCCTTTTCTATCTACAGATGGGTCACTTTCCTATCCTACACAGGGACTTAGTGGCTTCTGATTCATCTAGTTTTGTCCCAGTCTCTTTGTCAGATGTTTTATGGACACTCTCCACATTTAAAAAGGTTGGGGAAACAAGGCACTCCATCATCTGTTCTGTTTACTGCTGTCCATTGAAGCATCCAGAGTTTGTTCCAGTTTTAAATCGACAGCAAATGAGAATTTGGCTTATGAAGGTGTCAGTGAATGTGCAAAGAGTTCCATTCTTTTTTCCTCCAGAGCCTGTATACTTCCTTTCGTTCTGTCAGGACTTTATCTCAGGGTTTTCCCTTGTCAGAGACATACAAAGGAAATCCATTTAAAAAACCAAACACAACAAATTAACTTTAGCAGCAAGGCATGAGACTACCCTGCCAGAAAGGAAGAGTCAATAAGATTGTTTGTGAGCCTAGTGTTGATGAGACACATTTTAATTAACTTAAATTCATTCACACTCTTCCATTAGCTCCAGTTTTTTTTTGTAAACTGGGTGTGGTCAAATGATATCTACAGAGATTTACAAAAGCACTGACAGCCACCCATGTGGTATTTCAGGTGGAGGTATAGATGCCGATCCTTGCCTCTGGCTGAGGAGCACTCTGTGAAAGTCCAGAGGTGTTGAGATGATGTAAAACCACTTTTGCACTTCCCCAATCCTGAGGCTGCCCTGCACTGGCCCAGTTCATTGGTGTGTTAGGACAATTTGAGGACTGCTCTAATGTGTGCCAACTGCCCATAGCAGTTGGCAGTCTCCAAGGCATAAGGACAATGGGGCTATACCCTCTTACCCAACTCAAGCCCCCTATGCCAGCTAAAGGGATATATGCCACCCAAAAATAATTTTTTATTTGGGTGATCCTCCTATGATTTGCGAATCTGGCATTAGCCTTGCACCAGTAGAGCAGTTCACAGCTGCTGTGGTATGAGGAGAATCTGGCCCACAGTATGCTGATAAAGCAGGTCCCAGCATATGATACTCTCTTCTATGCATCAACCCAGATCACTAACCCTCAGTGGGGCAAAGTCTGGATGTCTCTACCTTAAAGTTATCCAGCCCAACGGTGGTGGTGGGGAACCTTTTCCCATGCACTCAGCTATCATGGTGTTGGGGGCTGGATTAGAATATAGATAGAACCTGATTGGGGTTATATTTATATTCACATGCATAACCCCTAACTCCATTTTCTCAAAAAAGAACAACAAAGAATACCTATCACCCTTCCAAGTAATATTTTTTTTTCCATTAGAGTGAACTTGTTCCGCAAGCTCAATGACATTGTTGGCGCTGTCTTGTTTTTACTGGAAAAAAACCTCAGATTCCTGACTTCAGAGGCAAAACTGAATCTAACATCTGCCCAAAATATTTGGTGTCCAAGAGCGTTTGCACTAACACAGAAGGCAAGAACTGTATTTATCTGTAAAATCGATTAGAAGGGATTGTGTTTGTTCCTGTATTTTCACTGCAGCTGATCTAAATGCATACAGAACAATCACCCAGCCAGGGGCACATTCTTTAGTTTTAACGAGTTTGGGCTCCTGCGCTCTACTAATGGCTGTGTATGAAGAAAACATTTGAAAGTCAGGCATACAAATGGGAAGAACCATTATGCACACATATGGCTACATCTAATATATAAAAAGAAGAGGAGTACTTGTGGCACCTTATAGACTAACCAATTTATTTGAGCATAAGCTTTCGTGAGCTACAGCTCACTTCATCAGATGCATTCAGTCGAAAATACAGTGGGGAGATTTATATACATAGAGAACATGAAACAATGGGTGTTACCATACACCTTGTAAGGAGAGTGATCAGGTAAGGTGAGCTATTACCAGCAGGAGAGCGGGGGTGGGGGAGGGGAACCTTTTGTAGTGATAATCAAGGTGGGCCATTTCCAGCAGTTGACAAGAACATCTGAGGAACAGTGGGGAGTTGTGGGGGGGGGGAGATAAACATGGGGAAATAGTTTTATGCCCCCACCCCGCTCTCTTGCTGGTAATAGCTCACCTTACCTGATCACTCTCGTTACAGTGTGTATGGTACCACCCATTATTTCATGTTCTCTGTGTATATAAATCTCCCCACAGTATTTTCCACTGAATGCATCCAATGAAGTGAGCTGTAGCTCACGAAAGCTTATGCTCAAATAAATTGGTTAGTCTCTAAGGTGCCACAAGTTCTCCTTTTCTTTTTGCGAATACAGACTAACACGGCTGCTACTCTGAAATCTAATATATATGTTCTAAACCAAGTCTTGCCTCACTTACTTCTGTGGGATCACAATTTGAATCAGTATGTGAATGTAAACAGAAGTAAGGTTCTCATCAACTTTCTCACCCACACTGCAGCTATATAATACTTTCTTTTACTAATGATGAGTAAAAACATGTGTAATCATAATGGTTGGGGCACCTTTATTATAGTGTATGCAATCCAGAATACTATAATCAACACATTGTCAGCTGGATATTTCATTTTCTTCCTCCACATTCTTTTGAAATCTCCCAGCCAACGATATATGGGCGATTAGCATTAATAGTAGTCCTTCAAATGAATCTATTGTCCATAGAAAAGTATTGCAATACTGTGTACCTATAATCTGTGCTTCAGTACAGCTCCCCCTATGTGGGAAAACGTTCTCATCACTTTTCCATGTTCAAGTTAAAAACACTTAATTGTGTCAAATTATTCAAGGAAAAGAAGTAACTTTGCATGCTATCCTACCAGTATGTTCAGGCTGCCAAATTCTCAGTTTCATGATATTAATTGAACAAGCTTTTACTTTGTTTCATATGCTTTTCAAGTAACATTTTAAGACCTATTTGTTTCAGCAATGAATATTTATGTATCAGTTTAATTATGAAGACTTACTGATGCTCTTATGTATACTTAAAAGACTTGGTATCTGGGAATTGGCGAGTATGTACAAGGTGTAATGGACTTGACTCAGATATGTAAGGTTTTCAAGTAAAGAATCTGTAAATAGAATTGATGTATAAACTCCTTTCTGGGAGCAAGTAGGGATTGGGGAAGAAAATTTAAAAGGGAAGTGAATGGTATAAAGGGCCAGATTTACAAAGGCATTTAGGTGCCTAAAGACTGATAAATGTGTGGTGGGATTCACAAAAGCACTTAACTGGGTTAGGTGCCTAATTCCCCTTGAAAAATACCTAATACCTTTCTACATCTGGACTTCAATCTTAGCATCATAAACCCATCTTGATTAAAGCAAACATAGTTCAAAGAGCCAAAGGCCCATTTCCAAAACCTCCAAATCTGTCAGGACAACTCACGCACATCTTACATATGTCTCACCCTTACACTACATGCTGGACAACCTTTGTTTCACATCCAATTCCATGATGTGGGGCAGGGGAGGGAAGAAGCCCAGCTGTATTAGTTTGCTCTGTGTAACATGAGAAATTTGACAGGCTTGACCTCATTGACAGGGGGAGTGATAGCTCAGTGTTTGAGCATTGGCCTGCTAAACCCAGGGTTGTGAGTTCAATCCTTGAAGGGGCCATTTAGGGATCTGGGGCAAAAATTGGGGGATTGGTCCTGCTTTGAGCAGGGGGTTGGACTAGATGACCTCCTGAGGTCCCTTCCAATCCTGATATTCTATGACTTAATACCCTGAGTGTCTTCAGCAGCTGAAGCCCTGGAGAGTGCTGGTTGTGCTCTGGCTTGACTGAAAGACATTCCATGGTCTCCAGCCAAAGAAATCCTTTGCACCTCAGGTATTTCTCCATCCTGTGGAGCATGAGTGGTGGATTGAGAGTGAGACAAGGGGCACTGAATGTTATTTAAAAAGGAAACAGTTGAAGAATCATCAGGGCTGGGTATCCTAACATTTCCACAGAGGGAGAAAGCTATGGTGTTGGTGGAGTAATGTTGCTGGTGGGGATGGGTAGGATTCAAGCTTTATTGTATCTGTTTCTTCAGAGGAGAGGAAATAAGGAACCATTGAACATCACTTCAAAAATCAGAGCATCCAGTTTATAGACGAATCATGATTCATCTTCCAGTTTATTGCATATACAAAAAGGCTATTAGGTGTGTTCTTTTGAAGAATTTTTTAATGTAAACACTACACTTTAAAATATCAAAACAGCAGTTACACAGTTTATTTTGAAATGCCTGCTTCTTCTGTATTAGAGACCATGTGGTATTTTAAATTGTCAGTTTAATTCTCTATGCAAAATTTTTCCATTTTCTCATTTTGTTAGCAGAGTTCTTCAGCATCTCCATTTGTTTTCACTCTAACAGCAGAGCGACTGGTTCTGACTCTTCCCAATGCTTCTTTGAGGGCCAATATCCTGCAATTTATCCTACAGCTTGCAGAATCAGGATCTTCTTCTTTAGTGATCTTGCTATTGTAGGTGTCCTGGACAGTGCATTTAAACTATTGATTAAATTATAGATTACTAGCATAAAATTATAGCTGTGATATTAGCAATTGAAAGTAAATGTGCCTTAAAAAAAGCAAGCTAAATAATGTAAGAATAGTATTTTGCACAGATAGAAATTAAGTCTAGGCTTTGACAGTAAGAATTGGCAGACAAATCAGTTGCCAAATAAAACCTTACAAAAGTCTTTGAAAACATACAGCATCCTATAGTAATTTTTCTAAACCATAAGCATAAAGAGATCTATTGGAGGGTAGAAGAAAAACCTTCAAGACCAAATCCCTAAAAATGTAAAATACAGTTTATACAATATTTTTTTTTTCATTTCATGTCTTGAAATTATGCTATTTCAGAGGTGTGGCAAGAATCTTTCCAGACTACAGACTTCTACACAAGCTCCTTCACATCAAATTAAATCTTAAACCATTTTTTTCACTTTACTTAGACAAATTACCTCCTCATAGCCCATTTTGTATTTCTTCTCTTATACAAGGTGAGGTCTCATATCTGTAGACTTCTTGGGCTACCAAATACTGATATTCTGTGGACTGGACACTTCTGATGGGCACAACAGTATTCTATTTCCATACTATCAATACAAGTTTGGAAGGACTAACATGGGAGGGAATATTATTGAATCTGTATGTTCATTTAAGAAAAGCCTAAGTGTTAAAAGGGCTACAGTCCAACTAAGCCAGTTGGTTCTTATGGTCCTATTACTTTAATCAAGAAGAATGCTGTGAATTCTTCATACTTATTGTCCTAAAATTTCTATAACTATTAATTGCAAGTCAAGGAAGACTGTCCAAACATCTCTGTTACTGTTTGTAGTTCTGCTGGAATGAATTTCGAAAAATATTATCCAAGAACGTATAACTATGACATCCATTGCTTTCTGCCTTTCCTCCAGGGGATGAACGTGAGAAATGAGGTTGCAGTTAAACAGGCACTGACCAAGACAAAAGAGCTTGACTGTTTTGAAGTCACATAAATTTTGACACTTTCCTGAGTGTGGAAGGGTCCTTGATAAAAGAAACAGATGTACTACTTTTTTTGGGGGGGGGTCTATGGCTGGTAATATGTATTAAATATCCTGCAAGCAATATAAGTAACTGTAAACATGGGGTAAAAAGTATTTGAGTTTGGGTACCTCAGACTGACGAGAGTCACTTTTTGTTTTCATGTGTGTCACGCTCTAATTTATTATATAAATTACTCAGTGAGGACAGGACCTCTTAGGAATTTCTGATGTACTAATCATTATGGTACCTACAGTAGGTTCAATCATGCCAAAGCTGGGTGGGTGGGTGGAAACGGGGAGAAAACCTCATATGGCAGTGGCTAATATATATTTTAGAAAAGAGTAAATCATTTCAAAGATCACTATCTTTTCAAAGAAATTTAACTTACAGGAGACAGTTTTTGTGGACTCCAGTAAAACTGAAATGTAAAACTATTTAAACATTGCTAAGTGCAAATGGTGCATATAGAATCCTTTGTCGCATACACAATTTTAAAAAATAACTCAAAGAATTACCTCAGTGTCTACATGAACAATGTTAAATGTCCATTATGAAATAGTCAAAATTCAGAAGGCACTTGTACAAAAAAGGGAAATATGCACTGTGGGTCAGGACCATATTTCATGATGAAGATTTTCAAAGGTGTCTGGGGGCGTAGGGTTTGACAGTGGTTATACCAAAACAAGTTAAAAAGATGTGTCCCACGTATTCATCTGAGTTAAAGATAAACTGGAACAACTTTACTATGAAACAAGCTGAGAATTCTGTACAGGATACTTCAGTGGTATAACACATTTGTATTTGAGTTAAACATTGAGTTTTGAAATCCTAATGTGGTAAGATGAATTTAGGAAAAAAAAGAGACAAAGCTCTTCAAAACTTTTGTCACCTCAGCTGGTAAAATATAGCAATATTCTACTAGAAAGGTGATTTGTTGATTCTATAAACTTATCCAACTACGGGTTGCTTGGTGAATTACTACAAAATTAAAAACCCAAAACTAAACTTCTATCATGAGATAAGATTATTTTTCCTTCACATTGATGGCAGACGATTCCTCAGTGTTCAGGAAGGGACAATGCACTCTGCTGTGTGAAAATGAAAGTTTGGCTGGCTTGATTACATGCTCGTCCACAGGTTGAATGCAACATTTGTGTGGAGTGTGAGGGAAGAGATGTAATACAAGAGGGTAGATGAAAACCAAATAGCCTCCACTATTGTCTAAGCCCTTGATTAAGAGACACAAACTTCAGCAAGTGGGGCAGACACAGACTATTCCCAAATTCTTGTAATCCCTACACAACAAATAGAACAACTCCCGCCACAAAGTTTTATAGAATTCATGTGGACAAGCCTTGGTGTCCATGAATTCAAACTAAGGTTCATTTCTGTTTTTCCTATCATGAAATTAGTCTAACTTATATTTTCATCATGGTGCCTTCTATTTGTCACAGCTTCAGTATACTCTGACTTTTATCCTCTTCAATATCAGAGTTCATCCTGGTAATAATAATAATAAACAAAATTACAATCCAAAAGTACTGATACTCCGTTTTTTTTTCTTCTTCACACCAGTAATTTTACATTTTTTTGCACTAGCTCTTTAACACCGTAACTTGGCTGGACAAACATTTAGCAAACTCCAATTTTGACATTTAATAATTTAATATTTCCTTCCTGCTGAAACACAGAAATATTAGTCTTGGGCTAATATCCCTCTGTACCTATGTCCCCTTGCCTGCCAGGCTCAGGGTAAGTCTACCCTCCAGTGCAAGACCAGGATTCAAACTCTAGCTCAAGACTAATTTCCCACCCTCTACAAACAAATCACATTGACTTATGGTCCCAGAACCCTATGGGGTGGAGGGTCTTATTCCGAGTCAAGCTGGAATCCAGTGTTCAAGCCCTATTGCTCTGCAGTGTAGACACAGCCCCACTGGACTTGTGCTCTGGGAGCCTGCCCAAAATATCCCAGAATACCATGGGCTGACCTTCCTTGTCCTCTGGACTGTCAAGTCTGGTGGACAATCAAGTTTTCTCTCACTGCACCACTAGCAAAGGGCTAGAGAGGACACATTTTGGGAAGGCGCTATGAAGTCTGGGATATGGGTGGCTGGACTCAGGCCCACAAAATGCAGTGGACACTGGAGCCCCAGGTTGGGACCCAGGATTCAACAATTTCTAATCTAGGGTTACAAATAAATGTAGATGCTCAAGCCCTAGGTTAACAAACCCAGGGTCTGCTAACTCTAGTTCTACTAAACTAGGGATTACGTTGCAGAGTAGGTATACCCAGTATAAGGGGCTTGGCTAAAGCACACTTTTCCAACTAACCCCAGCTAATGAATGGCCCCTTGGGATGGTCCTTTTTACATTGCATTCAACTTTGGCAGGAATAGTGCAAAAATAGCCTCAGGGAGGATGTAGTAACTGGTTCTGTGACAGTACCACTGAACTGTGCTGTGACCATCAAAACAAGCAGAAAAGCTGACTCAGTAAATACTGTAACTAGACCAAGACTGCATATAAAAATACAACATTTTATGGACATAAAGATGAAAGGCTATCAAGATTCTTTAAATAGCTATTCTTTACATTAATACATGTCTTCACAAAGGCCACAAGTTTCCTACCTTGTTTCTAGAAGATTTTTTTCTCTTTCCTTTATTTTTAATGACGGCTAATCTTTCAGTCAGAAGATCAGCTATGCCCTTTGCATCTCTGCTGTCTATATGTTCTCCAAGAACATTTCTCTTTAAAAAGAGGGAGAAGAGTAAATTATTATCACTTCATGCCTTCTCTACTGAAGAGAAATGGATCTGGTGACTGCTGGATGAAATTCACACCCATTCTGGAGACAACTGCAAGGCCCTATGCAGTACTCAAACTCCCAAATGAGGTGACTATCACCCTTCGGAGAGAGAAAGAGGCATCTGTAAAGTTTGTGCTTTATAAAATGTCAACTCCCTCAGTAATAATTACTACGGAGTTCCAGTGTGTGTAAAACATGCACATTAAGGAAAACTCTAATGCTTAACTAGAATATTTTTGATATGCATATTAAAATATTTACTCAAAATATGAATACATATTTTAGAAATCTATCACTTTGTTACCTACATTCAATAAATCTCTTACTGCAGGTTTGATCTGACAAACTCTCATTCAGAGAGAAATCCCGTAGAAGTGAATGGAATTACTATGTGAGTACAGACTAGTTTCAGGCGTAAGGATTTGCAGAATCATGCTCTTAATATTGCCCAATAGAGGCTGTTTGTAAATGCAAAGTAAAATTGAAAGAATCAGCTTTGTCATTAGAAAGTATTGAAAACTGAACACTTTTTCTTAAACAAAACAAATAATTACAGATCTTGCCATACAGTAGCTTGGAAGTTTAACAACACCCAATGATTTCTAATGAAAAAGGCGACTTTCTAGAGATGGAAAGCTTTTTTTTCTGGCTGAAAAATGCTGATTTGTCAAAAGCATGATATTTAGTAGAAATGTCACTTTTGTCTGAAGTTCATTTGGAAAGAAAACTTGAAAAAATATTTCAATCATCTCAAAACAAATTTTCTGTTTTGACACAACTTTGTTTCACTTTTTATATAATACAAAATAAAAATCAAACTCTGAATGAAATGTTCTGTTTTATTGAAGCAAAGCATTTTCAACTGGATCAAAAATGTTTTAAATTTTGTTTTGCAGGAAATTTTGAAATGTGATGCTTTTGTTCCATTTAGGAGTGAAAACTTGTGACATTTCTCACTAAATGAGAAATCTAGTGCCCACTTAGCTCTACAATTTTTCCTTACTTTGCACTATCAATTTGTCTAAATAGCAGCTTCCTTTCCCATCAGACACAATGACTATTATCTCTCATTACACTAGTGTTTTCCTGCTACAGAAATTCCAAGTATCATTAAAAAAGCATCAATTTTTAGTGTTTCATTTCCTTTAGAAAGATTAGTTTCGGGAATAAATGTTAATACAATCTGAAATAAGAACTATAATACACTTCAACATTTAATTTCCAGTACAAAATTAAGCACAATACAATCTTAAATAGTAGTGGGGCTAGACCAGTTAAGCAGCAGTACTTCCCCTCATTGGTTCACACAATGGGGACACTATTTAAACTAATATTTACCTTTGCTCCTTGGTAGGGATAAAATTTAACAGTAGGGTAGGCTCTGATGCCAGCCGTCTGACAAGTATGAGCATAAGCTTGACAGTCAATTTTTCCAGCTTTTACTTTTCCTTTTACAGTCTAAAAAAGAAAATTGTTTACTAGAAACCCCATTAGAATAAGCAAAGTTCAAAATTTCCATGTGACTCAGATAACTTGTTATAAATTGGAATTGTACGAAAAACACAACATAAAAATATGGTATAGAATATGTCCATTTATTTTACCAAGTGAAGATAAAGGGTAAAATTAAAAAAAAAATACTTTAAGTCCCAGTTTTAAAATTAATGTAGGCACTTGGAAGCCTAAATCCCCTTGATTTTCAGTGAGACTTAGGTTATATCTATAAATGTAGAGTAGGGGTGTAATTTGCAGTTTGTGTAAATGTACCAGTGCAAGCTTTAATTTACTTAGAATGCTAAAAATATGAATGAGAATGCGGTGGTGTAGGCTTCTGCATGGCTGTACAAAGAGCTGAGGTGCGATTTAAAAGTTTTGAAAACTCTGCTACACAGAGTGAAAATAAAAAGCAAAATCTTTATTCAGACTGAAAGAAGAAAAACCGTAAACAAAGAGGCCTGAATAACACTTTTCAAATAGAAAGACCAAGGATGAGAGCTGCAGACACATAAAAACATCCATAAAGGCTGCCTTCTGAGTACCCCCTAATAAGCCCCGAAGCAGGAGCATGTGTGCCAGGGATATGGGAGAGGTGTGTCCATAGTGGCACCACAGTCAGTGCTGCGGCCCATGGGGCAGCCCCAGGAGATTACTGTAAATTAGTCAGACCCCCAGAACTGCTGGAGTTGCTGCATTTCCTACAGCAGTCCTGAATCTGGAGGGCGCAAAGGTAGCTTAAAACCACTTTAGCCTCCCCTTAGCCTTGGTCTGCAAGTTCTGTGCTGCTCATTTTGAAAGGTGTAGCACAGAATCTCATCCCTACAACTTTCAAATTTGTGTTTGTCTTTTGGAGCTCAGTTAGGCATGGCTGTCACCAATTTGTCTCCCTATGAAGACATGAACTACTGGGACGCCTTTCTTATATACCAAAGGAAGGCAAAAGCACTGAACAGAGACTTGGGTTTTGTTCTTTTTTCTGCCACCACTGGTTCTGACCTTAGACAAGTCCCTGAATCTGCCTGTGCCACAGATTCTGATCTGTAAAATAAGGTACTTGCCTACTTCACAGAGGTAATGAGGATAAACTCATTAATGTACATGAAACACTGACATACTGCGGTGACAAACACAAGTGGACTGGCAAGACCTATTTAAAAATCACATGTCCCTCTTCCCTGTAATGGAAGGGGACCATAATTTCTCTGATTTCTAAGTATTTAAAGTAAGTAAAGTAAGTAAATAAAAAATTAGAAATTATGGTCCCCTTCCATTACATGGAAGAGGGACATGTGATTTTTCTAAGTTTAGAGAAGAACTTCTCTCCAGTCACATATGCAAGTACCTAATGGTGCTGAGGAAATAAACTGAGAGGGGAATAAAAGACTTGTCCACATAACGAATTACCGTGCGGCAAGTTGGTGCACTGCAGATTCACACCATGGCTTGCTGCCTGGTAACTCACTGTGTAGACATGTCCTACAATTTATAGTTTTGAAATAAATATTTTACTTCATGGCAGTGGCATATAGAACTACTACTCAGTCTACTGATGAAAAGCTATATAAGAAGTAGGTATTATTATTACTTATCAGAAGCAAACTAACTGCTGGTGTCAATAGGTTAAAAACTTACCCTAGCTAGCACCTCAAATTCTGGAGCAAAATTTTGGCAAGGGCCACACCAAGGAGCATAAAAATCAATGACCCAATGATCTTTCCCATGCAAAACTTTTTCTGTGAAGCTCTGAGGTGTCAGATCTACGGATACTTGAGGTAAATATCTGGGGAGAGAGGAAAAACATTTATAATAAAATTAAAAACCTTAAATATATTTAAAATTGCAGTTACACTACAGAAAGCTTCCAGAAATTAGAGAACAGCTATAATGAAATGTAAATAAACACAGTAATACTATTATGTTGAAAGGCCCTTTAGTTTACATGAGGTATAGGCATCTAAGCATTATCTCATCCCTCCTTGAACCAAAAACTAAGGATGTTGTCTAATTTGAGTGTGGGGAGGGCAGACCTGTGTCCATTCAATATGAATGGTCTTTTCTCATCAATAGAAATATCTTCTTCCTTTCTTCAGAAGACCTGAACTTGGTGCTTAGTCTGAATCTGGGAAGTCAAAGAGCTGTGTTCCGAGACTACAATAATGCTTTATATTTACTGTGGGTTTAGGAACGTGACGCTAATGTGACGTGTTGTAGGAAGCTAAGAATACCTTCTCTAAACAATGCTTTTAAGGCTTGAGCCAACAGAGTACAGAAATTCCTGCATCTGTTTTACGAAGCAACATATCCATCTATCTAGGCATTTCTAATGCTTTGTTTCCATGGCATCTGGGTGCCAGCTTCTCCTAGACACAACCATTAGGCTAGCTTGTGAACAAATTTTAATGTAACAACTCACCCAAGTGCCCAGCTCCTTAACGAATACGAATCCCTGTGCCAACCATTGTAACTACTATTAGAGAACACACAAGAAAATACTAATTATACAATAGCTTGAATAGGTTTGAAAGACTTTGTAGAGGTGTTAAATCTGAACCCAGAACAACCTATTCACAAAGGTTGATATAAAATTAAGTTGAATGCATACATTTTAGAATATATTTCTACTATAGTTCAGATATTGAAAAAGCTATTTTAATTTCAAATCTGAATAATACAAGTCAATAATACACATTGTAAAGTACTGGAACATGAAGAGAAGGAAGGATCGGTCCTATGTTATGTTAAATTAAAGGAGAGTAAGGTAAATTTAGTACGTCAGTCAAATTGACTTTTTGTCAGCTAAAAAGGCTTGTGAGCATTGTGTCTTTGGTAATATTTCCAGATAAAGTTTCTAAATCTAATATAGGTGGGACAAAAAAATAGCACATGATCAAGTGGAAAACACAATTAAGTAAAAAAACCAATTTTAACCTATTTTACAGAGAACATTTTATTATTACAATGGAAATATTTTCAATTAATTTTACTTTTCATTCTATCAACTTCTGCATTTATCTCAGCTTGGTAACCCAAAGGTTTATTATTTGAACTGTAAATACTGTAGGGGATTGTTTGTTTAAAAACATCTTTCACTGGAATTTTCACACAAATTAGTGAAACTAATAAATCATAGGCTGTGAGAGTTTATTTCACAAAAATATAAATTCACAGTCAAATCTAACCAAACAGTTCTTAGTGGCATTTCTTTCCAGGGGCACTCTTTATCCCCAGAGTATATTTTAACATATTTCTTAATTACAAAATCTGCATTATTAAAGATTGAATTTTTTTTCCCAAAAAAGGAAAATAAAACACCTCTTCTGGGGAATTTTAGTGCTTTGGGAGAGATTTATATAAAAGAAGAATAAAATCAACTTTCATCATAGGCGGTCCAACAGTCAAAGCTTCAACAGCCTATTAGGCACCCCTCAATACAGTCTATATAATTTACTATCAATGAGCATTTGATGGAACCCTTCAATTGTATAAATAATCATTAGTCTTTCCCAATTCAGTTTAATCTCTTACTTCAGTATTCCATTTGCCTCTGAGGTGCCAGGGTCAGAAATGTAAAGTGTTAGATGTTACAAAGCTATCATGTATCATAAAGAATCGGAGCACTGTTACAAATTTTTTTTTTAAATGGTCAGATTTCACTTTCCGTAGCAGTAGTATTTTTCACTATTTAGCATTTTTCTGTCAGTGTCCCAAAGAAATGGTATGGTGAATGTGCTCACTGAACACGTAAGGTCAAAAGTTCTATAATGTTGATATCAGACACATGCTAAAGAAGGTTATTTATATATAATATCTACACGCATACTGATCTGTTTTAAAGGTCAGGTTGCACTGAACTATGCACCGTGAGTTAGAGCTATTGATATTTGCTGCAGAAGACAAAGGACTGGAAAATTTAAGAGTCTATGGCACTGTTCTGTCTGAACTACGTATTTTGGCCATTGACATGGCAAAGGACTAATTGTTTAAAGTTATGTAATTCGTTTTTATGTTACTAATGAATACGCTGCTCATGAAAACCTCTGGCAAACTTAATAATAAAACACAGGAACCCCAAACAATTATTTAGATAAACTAAATTAATTTCTTGCATTATTTTAGTATTACAAAACTGAAAAATCTCAGAATGTGTGAGAATAAAATCATTCATACTATACTTGTAAACACTTATGAGTTTCCAGTGGCTTTGACTTACCATCTGAAAGATACTATTTTCCCTCCCAGGCCCTCCTTAATACATTTTGAAGATAGCATAACTCTTGAAATACAAATCATGACGTATTTTCCAAATGTAAGCAGTTATTCACTTACTAGTAATGATGACCTGTATTTGATTTTTGAGGAAAGAGTCTTATTTCAGGATATCCCTGTACATTTTCTTGGTGACAGAAAGAAAAATATTTTTGACAATCCATACTGCCAACAGTGATTAATCCATTTAACAACTGAAAGAAAAAATATTGCATTTTCTAGTTAGTAAAATCACTCTGGGATCACATTGAGGTTAGTTCATGGCATATGAATCTTTGTCAGAGATGAATACTTCAAAATTCAGACATCAGCGTTTATTGCAGTCCTCACCTCTGGAGTACTCGGCAGGTAAAAAGCAAAAAGGCTGATTTTTTTTTTATATGATAACTGTGTGTGTACAATCACATACATGCTTTGCACATGAAATACTATGCATGTAGTAGAACCCCTATTTTATAAACAAACTGGAGACAGACATTCATAATAATCAAAACATTCATAAAACTGGACATCTCAAAATTATAGTAGGTACAGTACATAAGCTGCAGGATGGTGCTCTGAATTGCTTTTTTTTGTCCCTCTAAGCTCTGTAAAGCGACTTCCAATGCACTGACGGCACTGGCCTGTGAAGGGATGTCAACTTGTTCTTAATTGACATCACTTTTGTTATGGGGTCCCTCATACCCTGGTTGGGGAAAAAGCGTTCATATAACTGACTGTTAGTACGACTCGTGTTTATGAAAATCAGTATTCTACTGTACATGTCCAGAGCCATGATTAGTCTATACACACTGCTAACTGGCACCAAATGGTCTCATGACTGCACAAAAATCAAAGATTTGCAATACTATTACACAAATGATTACATCGAGCAATGGCCATGCAAAGTAAGCACAGACCTGAATACTGAAGTGTGTATAGTTCAGATCACTGAAAAGCAGACTTAAAACATCCTGGAAATACTATTTAATAACATGAATTGAAAAAGCCCTCAAAGAATATTTTCAGGTTTTTAAAAAATATAAATAATGTTTAATTAATGTTTTATACCTCGATTTGAAATCAGAACCAGATCCCGATTCGTTCCTCTAGGTGCTACTTAAATACAAATAATTATAATAAGCTATCCATTAATGAAGTTAGAGGGGAAAAACGGCTATGGTTACTTAAAGCCATTTATGATCCAATGTACATAAATGTCTTTTTTTACCTTTTTTATTTTAAACACAAATACCTAGTCACCTTATAATTCACAATATATAATGAATTAATCAAACTTCAAGGAAAGTTATTCTAAAACTTGTCAAAACTTGTGGGATTATGGGTATTATAGGACGACAGTAGCAATGTTCAGGAACTTAAAAAGTTGGGACAACATAAAACTGCCAAGCAGGAACTTATTATTTTGTCCATTATATTAATCACTCATTTTTTTCCACTTATGGTAACTTCTCTAGGCCAATTTATTGAACAGTCTCAATACTTCTATTAAATAGGACATTTTAAAACTTGGAATGTGATTTCCATTTTACCCTGGCCATCCTTTTCCATTCTGGCATTAAAGCCTGGCAAGGCCCACACCATGGAGCATAGAAATCAACCATCCAGACTTCATCCCGCTTTCTTTGTTTAACTAGTGTACTGAAAGTGTCTGGTGTTAAGGAGACCACCGAAGGGTTCATGAGATCCTGAAATACACAAATAATGAGACTTACATTTCACATACAATTAAATTATCCTGAATGCGGCACTATCAAATACAAACTGACTACATAATACTACCATGCTCATCTCACTAATGAAGCTTGTTTGTCTTTAAGTATCAATAACTCAAAAATCCTATAAATTAACAGCCTTTGAAGAATGGATTGAGAGGGTAGAGATCTGCACCTTATTTCACAAAAGTGATAAAACTACTCACAATTTTAGGTACATATATTGGGAACCACAGTCTCTGAGCACTCTCAATAATGAATGTATTTCTCCTCCCTATAAAGTTAGGAAGTGTTATTAACACCATTTTACAGGCCGGGAACTGAGGCATAGAGACATAAAGGACGTGCTCAAGGTCACAGAGAAAGTGTGTAGCATAGCAGGGAACTGAACCCAGGTCTCTGAATTTCCAGACTACCACTCAGAAGACCATCCTTCCTCTCCCTCCACTCTTTCTGATTTTAAGAACATCAGGATAGCTGGTTAGAAAAGATACCTTGGAATGTTTTACACCAAAACAGCATGTATAATGTGAATTCAGGGACTGACGGTGTCATAATGTGAGAGTCGCATACCTCTATAAACGCCAAGATCTGTTCAGCTGAGTGATGCCCTTCATATTCATGAACATTGGACTGGTTGAACACCACTGTTGTTGGGTAAGCTCTAATGTTATGCTATTGAAAAACACAACAACAAAACAAATTGCAAAGAATGTTCCTGGTTGCTGCCAATCCATTAAGGACCATTGGTACTAATGATCCATATTCTTGCTAGCCAATTTGCTTTGCACAATACAACTCTTCAAACTTTTAGATAATATACTTAATCTTGCCTTAGCGGGGGGGGAGGGGGATAGACTAGATGACCTACTGAGATCCCTTCCAGCCCTACATTTCTATCATTTGTTGGATTTTGATAAATGGGAGTTTGGAAGGCCTAGAAAAGAGTGGGGTCTCCAAACCCTAATTCACAGTGAAAAGGATGCTGGCTTGTTGAAGAGGCTGTACTGTTGGAGTTTAAAAGCTATCCCACACTCCTTTCGCTGTGCTCATGGTTAAGGGAACAAAATTACAGCCTTTTCTAAGTCTTCTGACCTGTCCCTCCTAATTTTCTAAACAAACAAACCAAAAACCTTTATTTGAAGTTTTCAGCTGTACCGCTCCCCAACCTTCAGGTAAAACAGCGTGTACTCTACTACTAACTGTACATTAATTTTGCTATCTGTAAACCTAGATTCTTCAACGATTTAAGTCCTTCAGTATCAGAGGAGTTGCCAATGTACACAATCTTTAAGGCTTTCAATTATATGCCGATTTCCCCATGTATCTTACGACTTTAAATTTTTCACTATAAAACCAGAAATATCCTGGTTAATTGTGCATATGTTAGGAGATTACACCAGTTTGACTATATATATATATATATAATACACACACACACACACACACACTTTTTTTTTTTAACATCTGTTGTTTAATTCAAGCAGTGCACATATATAGAAAAGGCCTAAGCAAGTAAAAAGGCAAAAATGCTTAGGAAAGCGCCTTCTTAAATATGTTGACTGGTCCTGCATTTCTTGTGAACTCCAAAATTCCTGATTTGTACTGCAGACAAAAGCAATGCACATTACAAAGCAGCTGTAGGCTGGCTGGGAACTTGAACTCTCTGTGGCATTCTGAAAATGGTGCTCCATCAGCGTAAACTGCTCTGTTGTTTTTATCTCTCCATGTTCAAAGCAATAATAGGACTAGTGTATATTTTGTAAATAGATTAGGAACGAGTAACTGGGTCTGTGCTCAATCATTTCTCTCTCAAAAGGGAATAATCCAACACTGGAATTCAAATCTTTCCTGACCACTAAGGAGGCCGGACAAGACTTTAATCTTTTACAGAACACATTTTAAGTTTACAGATTTTAAGAGACCTGTATAGTTTATTCCCTTGAAAAAAGCCTTGATAATGGAGCACCCTCTTTGGATGTGTTTTGAAATTTTAACTACAAGAAAACAGAATTTATTGAATAAGACCTTTTAATACTTGCAGCTTACCATGTTGCAAAGCCCTTCATGGATTGTGCAGTCTAGTGTGCCAAATTTAAGCTGCCCAATAAGGTGCTTTGATGCTTTTCTCAACTCTGGCAACAAAGCTCGACATGGAGGACACCACTAAAAAAAATGCAAATCATAATACTACTGTTAAAATAAAGCAAATAACATATAACTCTCCTGTAAGCAGTTCTCTGCAGAAATATGAATACATATATTGTCTCTCAGTATGCCAAGCAATTTGTGTGTGGTCTTGACAAACAAGACTCCAATAAAGGATAAAAACATTCAATGTAGGAATGGTGCAACCTTGGATTAATGAATTATTAGGGTGCTCCATGCTATAGAATATCATCTTCAAAATGCTGGTATTTTAATAAAATATTTACATATTTTAGCTAAAAAGGGAAAAGAAATATAGCAATCTAATACTTACAGGTGCAAAGAAGTCAACAAGCCATGGTTCCTTCTCCTTGCCAGGAAAATTCTGAGGCCCAAGTGTGATAACATTAGAGTTTACACTCTCCTTGGCGAATGCAACTATGTCATATAGGATCATCTTCCCTAAAAATACCCACCGCAAAACAACCCACTGTTATTCTTAATATCTATATTCTTATGATTACTCAATATTCATTTACCAAGAAACAGGAGCATGTTTCATTAACAGTGTATGATTTGTCTTATTACAAATGTTATACCAGAGATCAGGCTGAAGAGCTGGTAAATGCAAACTTTGTCACTGGCCACACTGGTCCTGATTCAAAGCCCACTGAAGTCAATGGGACTTATTCAATTAACTTAAATGGGCTTTGAACAAGGCCTTATTAAATAAACTGTAAAGCTATCATCTTACCTCAACTTATGTAAGCATCATTTCACTAGTCTGCTCAGTGTAGGTACCAAGTAGGACAATGCATGTTGGATATTTGGATAAGAAAATGCTTAAGGCATAAAATGTCTAGCCAGGATAAAATATAAAATTAGTGTTCTTTGTGGAAAATGCTTTTTGTTTTGAAAATGATTGAGTTGAAGAAACTCAAAGTAGCAATGTCTCAGGTCACAGCACAGTGATGATGCAATTTAATATAGCTCTCACTCAGTTTAGATAGATGAGACCCTCAACATTACCCTCTCATAACCAAAATAATAACTAGGAGACGTACAAGTTGTGGCAAAGGTTGCAGATGCCACCTATTCTGTACAAATTAAAAGGAGCCATTCTGAAGAGACGATACAGATATCTTTAAAAACTTGCAAGGAAAACGTTAGATGAACTGGCACCGACTGCAGTCATACCAGCATTAAAAATAAGATAAATTCTCTTTATGCTGTTTGCATCTTATATAGAATTTGGCTACAAAAATGTCATACCTATTTGACAGGAGCTCTAATGGTCCCTTCTAAAGCAATGACTTTAGCTCAGTAGGAGGTTTTATCAGACTAAGTTTCTGGTTGAGATCTTTTGTGTGCTATAAGAAAAGGAGTACTTGTGGCACCTTAGAGACTAACCAATTTATTTGAGCATGAGCTTTCGTGAGCTACAGCTCACTTCATCGGATGCATACTGTGGAAACTACAGAAGACATTATATACACAGAGACCATGAAACAATACCTCCTCCCACCCCACTCTCCTGCTGGTAATAGCTTATCTAAAGTGATCATCAAGTTGGGCCATTTCCAGCACAAATCCAGGTTTTCTCACCCTCCGCCCCCCCACACACAAACTCACTCTCCTGCTGGTGATAGCCCATCCAAAGTGACCACTCTCTTTAAAATGTGTATGATAATCAAGGTGGGCCATTTCCAACACAAATCCAGGTTTTCTCACCCCCCCACCCCCCTCCAAAAACCACACACACAAACTCACTCTCCTGCTGGTAATAGCTCATCCAAAGCTCTGGTCACGCAATCACAGACATGAAGGTCGCTATCTTACAACAAAAAAACTTCAAATCCAGACTCCAGCGAGAAACTGCTGAATTGGAATTCATTTGCAAATTGGATACTATTAATTTAGGCTTAAATAGAGACTGGGAGTGGCTAAGTCATTATGCAAGGTAGCCTATTTCCCCTTGTTTTTTTCTAACCCCCCCCCCTCCCCGACGTTCTGGATAAACTTGGATTTATGCTGGAAATGGCCCACCTTGATTATCATGCACATTGTAAGGAGAGTGGTCAGTTTGGATGAGCTATTGCCAGCAGGAGAGTGAGTTTGTGTGTGTGGTTTTTGGTGGGGGGTGAGAAAACCTGGATTTGTGCTGGAAATGGCCCAACTTGATGATCACTTTAGATAAGCTATTACCAGCAGGAGAGTGGGGTGGGAGGAGGTATTGTTTCATGGTCTCTGTGTATATAATGTCTTCTGTAGTTTCCACAGTATGCATCCGATGAAGTGAGCTGTAGCTCACGAAAGCTCATGCTCAAATAAATTGGTTAGTCTCTAAGGTGCCACAAGTACTCCTTTTCTTTTTGCGAATACAGACTAACACGGCTGTTACTCTGAAATTTGTGTGCTATGCTCTTCATGCTTCAGAGCCTGAAAGCCAGATCTTCAGCTGGTGTAACCCTACATAACCTGTCAATTGAATTTGATGACGCTACACTGATTTACATGAACTGCAATTCCAGCCCTGAGTCTATACCTAAATTTTTACAGCATTTCAGAATTCTTTAAAGGGGACACTTCAATATTATAGGTTTGGAATTATTTACTGGTGGGCTTTGGAGGAACTAAGCATATATGGCAAAAGTGGCTGTGACTGAAAGCACCCCTGTATTCACACTCTGCACACTAATGCAGTAAAACTAATAACTCACTCGTCAATAATATCACGGTGAAATGTATGTAGCATTATTATATGTAAAGTTATGACTTCCCGCTGTATGTTGTTAGCACATATTCAAAACCACACAGCCCTGCCTAGACAAACGTTGTTAAACAGGTCTATCCTAAACAAAGGAATGTGTGTTTACCTCAATTTACATATTAGTAGTAAACAGCATCGTCAAGACACTAGGGGGAGAAGATGGCAGGAAACAGAACAATTTGCATTTTAGCAAACGCAAATGGAGGAAGAAAGAGCATGGAGCCTCCTTTATCACGAGACACCATGTCGCCTTCCGCCTGCTGCTTTGGATAAAGTTTACTTTTTGGGGGGCAAGAGGATATCCTTAGAAGAATACATTTCAAAGATTCAATGGCCTATAAAAGAAAGGGACAGGTACCCCCAAATTCTCTCTTTTACCTAAGACAAAAGCACCAGAACCTTTTGGGCCTCTGGGACAGATCCTGATCAAGGAGAGAGTCAGCCACTATCTTGCTGGAAGACTGTAGGTGAGAAAGGCCATCTTACACAAAGCCTTGAACCAAAAGTTGCTAGATTTAGTTTTAAATGCGTATTTTCACTTTTATTTGCTGGTAACCATTTCTAATTTTATCTCTTATACTTGAATTAACTTAAAATCCTATTTTTTTAAAATCTAAACCAACCCAGTGGTATGAACTGTTTGATAATTCCAGTTAAGGTAGCAAAGTATTGCTGTTGATGATTCCAGTTAAGGTAGCAAAATATGACTCCTTAAAAGGGTAACAAACCTTAATATCCCTCTGATAGTTCCAGGACAGGGTTAGACATTTCAGAAGATGTGTTTTTGGGAAAATTCAGGGCCGGGGACTGTGTGGACTCATCATCCCAGTAGTTAACCAAGGCTAGGTGAAGCCAGTGGAAATCTGTGGCATTGCAGGCATTGGTCCAAGGCTGCCCAATACACAGACAGAATGCATGCTTGTTGCTAACTGTGGGACCTCCAGGCAGAGAGCCCGTGACAAGGCATTATGAGGCATTTGGGGTTACAGGGAAAGAGGTGATACAACTCTTCACTGGTGTGGATTTCACCCCATAATGTGACAACAGTGGGTGGAAGTGAAATTAGCAAATGAACACATGTAAAATAAGAGATCAAGTCCCAAGATTCTGAAGCCAAAAGAGTTGTGCAAGCAGCGTGATCAGCATATGGGGAAGGGTGTGTCTTATGTCATTTTTCAGCTACCTTTGCCAAAGCAAAGAGCTGCACTGATCAGCTTCAGAAATTCCCATTCTTATTCCAAGGCTGTAACGATGTCTTTGAAATAGAGGGAGTACTAAAAAGTGAATAAGTAGGAGGACAACCTTTTGGGGTTTGAGGATTGCTTACAGAAGAAAAAAGTATACAGAATAATATAACTCAAGACAATAGGCAATGTTAAAGCAAAATTATGATGTAATATCATTAGAATTGTGAAAACAACTGTTCTGAAAAACAAATTCAGTTTGCAAAAGACTTCACCTAAAAAAATTACACATTATCTTAAAACTTCTGTCAGTTTGCCTTACCATGATGAATTTCATAATCTTCAGTTCCCTTTCCTTTAAAGACTGCTAGACATGGCTGATAGACATACAGATTACTGCAGACACTTGGTGAAGAAAGGCAGTCAATCTTTCCAACCTATTATTAAACAAACAATAACATTTGGGTTTTTTAAATAAGGGAATCTAATTTATTTATATTAGTATATTTGGAAAGTTGACATAAATTAAGATGCTTTTCCAAAATAGTACTTCCTGTCCGTTATAAATGCAATATTCTTTTATAAGTGCTAGTGGTCTTTGATCCTAAAGACTGATACGATGTTTAAGGTGTAATACAATTCATACAGATGTATTATGTACCGCAAGCACAATTAGGTAGAGAAAAACTTCTAAAAACAAAACAATTTAATATTGCGACACAGCTAATCACTGCTAATTCTTACCTCAAAGACAGGTTTAGGGAATAGAAACTAAAACAATCTAATTTCTTCCAAATAAAATATCAAGAGAGAACATAGCATCTGAGATAAATACTAGGGGACCAAATTCTGCTCTTAGCAGAGTAACTACTGAAGTCCATGGAAATTACTATGAACTTGCATTAGAGAACTGTATGATCTATGGTGTTTAAATATACAAGCTTCCCCTGGTTACACAGGAGCTATTTTGAATTACTTTTAAGAATGAAAGTTAATTTAGTTCCAGCTTCAAGCACACACAAATATAATTATAAAATCTTTGTGGGGTAAATATTTAAAATACTGTTCAAGATTTGCAAGGCTTTTTTTGTTTAAAGTAGGTCTTCATCTTCTGTGAAGAAAAAACTGCACTAGGTTTATCACAGACATATCTAATGTAACTGTTGAAATGAGACAAATACAGACTACAACCAGTTTTCAAACACAAGTGCCTAACCCATACGTAGGTACCTAAGTCCACTCAGGTTTAGTTAATGTGCAGCACATTTGATATTAAATTCAGTGGAAGCTGCAAGTGCCCAGGACTGTGAAAATCCCTTTGATTTAGACATCTAAGTCAGGACTTGGGTGCCTAACTTTGCACACCCGAGTTTAAAAATTTGTGGCCTACAGCAGGAATCACCTATCCAATGCAACAGTCGGATACAATAAGGAAGGTTAAGGAGAATTTGTGTTGTAATTATTTTCAGTTTTTATGTTTTAACATACTCAAGTTCTACTTAATGGGCCAGATTTTGTTCTGAAATCAGTGGTGTTACCCCAGATGTACACAGGTGTGAGAGCAATATCTGACTCAGTACTTACAACTGATAGGTGATAATAAAGAAGATAACATGAAACAGCTTGTTAATGGGAAGCTAGGGTGCATAATGCTAAATAAATGAGTATTCTTACCTGAATATGTTCATCTTTAAGTAGAAAATTCAGTTTTTTAAACTCATGCACATTTGACTTGTCACTCTCACCGAACTGAAAGAAAAGCAGCCATCGGTGATGAGCCACATGGTCCTTAAAATGGGAAGCAAATGAGAGAGAAATGCTTATCTTCCAGTTTCTACCAGTTATGTAAGTTAAATCTATGTTTTCAGTCATGTTACTGTAAATCAAATGCTAAGCAATTCACCAGAACCTAAATCCTTATCCAATACACATTGCATTGCCCTTCGAAACGATATAAATTTAACAGCTTTTCAATAGAGCACCGCCCTAAGAGAGAAAATCTAAAAACTACTTTATATATCTTTTAAATCTTGCTTCCAACTTGCCTCCCTCATACTAGATCAAAATAGCTAAACTTTGCATTCTCTCTTGAAAGCAGTGATACTCAGACCTCAGTTGTTCAAGAGCCAAAGTAGCGATCAACATTACCCAAAGGAGCCACAGAAGTGTGAATTCATTGTTTCATTTACTGTACTACAATTAATATTTAACAGTATGACGGGAATATTTATTTTATATATACTCATTCTCACAGCAAATAAGTTGTTAACTTAGTGCAAGATGATAACTTATCGGGTTAATAACACAGTAAAAGCATCCTGATTGGTTAATAATTAAATCAGTGTTTTAACATCATGTGCTGCAAAGAGCCGCAGGCGACACATTAGAGAACCACTTGCAGCAAACATTATTATTAGCCTAGTGAAAGGAGACTGAGGCTTAGGGCTTGTCTTCACTACCAGCCAAATCGGTGCTGCTGCGATCAATGCAGCAGGCATCGATTTAGCAGTCCTGGTGAAGACAAGATAAGTTGATGGGAGAGGCTGCTTACCTCTAATGAGGCTGCAGAGAGCATTTCAAAATCTGGAAGATGCTGCATTACTTCCAAATATATCTCTTTGGCATCCAAGGAGTTAAGAAACTAGAAGAGAAAAAAGTCACTCTAATTGTATAAAATGTATAAACATTAACCTGATTGTCGTTGATTAGCAATCCTCAACAGAATTAACCTGATTAGTTCTCATTCATCAACTGAAAAATGCTGTTAATCAACATATGTTACTTGATTCGAACCTCCCTTTAATTGCTGGTTTCAGAGTAATTGCTATTACAAGAACACTATACTCTAAGCAGTCTGCTGTTTTAGGCCCAGATTTTAAAATGTATTTAGGCACACTGTGCTCAGTGTTGCGACGCCAGAGTCTCATTTTTAAAAAGTGATTTAGGCACATAGGAGACTAAATCCCATTGTCTTACACACTGCTTTTCTCCCCATCCCCCGCACTAAAAACACAAAATACCGTGCTTTGTCAAAATGAGTGCTAAAACAAAGTCATGGCCTCAACTCACAAAACACTTTCTTTGGCAACATGTCTCTATTTTACTGTACTATTTGTATAGTTCAGATCACTGTATTTCTGTAATTTTGCAAACATCAGGAAGTGCATAAGAAGTAGTAACTCAATGCTGGTGGATTTAATGTAGCTCCAGTGATTGTTACTTTCTCTTCAGGTTCACTTTTGAAGAAGGGCTTTGGTGGCCGTAGCATGAGAGAGAGGGAGAGTCATGTTTCAGATTGGTGATTTTCTTGCATAAATTAAGAATATTAACCTCAAGACAACTGAAACAAGAGTTTAAGGTGATATGGTAATAGGAGAATAGCACAACACAGCATATATCCATAGTGACATGCAGTGCAAGTCCATTTTCACTGCATGTAGGCCACATTTTGAGATTTTAAGAAGGGTATCTAGCTCATTATATATCAAATTTACCAGTAGCACATAAGTTAAATGTAAAACTGGGAACAAGCATTTCTCAGTGTAATAAATTCAATTTTGTTTGATTAGTGAATGTTTATAATCCACTTTCTCATCACCACCACCACCACATTGTATGTAGACCCAAACTGTTTAAAAGTAACTCATACCAAAACACCTCCTTTCTCTTTATTAGTTAAGGTGGCTCCAGGTGGAAAGTATGCTGTAGTACTAGATGAGATATCCAAATTATCACAAAGCTCACCCTGGGTGGCACAATCCATCCAGCCTACATTAACAAGGCCTTCCTAAAATAAAAAAGCAACAATTTGATAGTGTTATTTTGAAACTCAAGGTCAGAAGAATTTCTGCAAATACAATAGAGGCAACTAGCTACTGTTTTTAGGAGATGTGGGGGGGGGGAGGGAGGAAGACTTACAGGGAAGCACAACAATACTTTGATAGTCATGTACTCTAATTTAGGAAATCCTTTAAACATTTAGTTCCATTATATCATGTCCAATAATGAGATGGCTCTCAAACATAAAGCTGATTTGAAAACAAACTGTTTGAAAGTTATTGGGTGAAATCTTGGCCCCACTGAAGTCAGTGAGAGTTTGCCATTGACTTTTATGGCATCAGGATTTCACCTTTTGGAATTCTGATTTAAATATAATGGGTAACATCTCCAAATGAAATACTGCTTACCAACATGCCGGCTAGTTTAAGGCGTGTCTGGGAAGTCAAACAATCTGGAAAATGAAAATAATGATTTACCATTAAACACAAGGCTTTAAATGATCAAGTAATTAAACTTACTCTAGTTTAGAATTTTTCTTCTCATCACCAAGAATCCCAGGAGGAGCAGGCTACAGTTTTCCCATGCATGTTTGCTAGCTTTTTAAAAACAAAATTTTTTTTTGTAGCTTTTCAAGTGAAAATCTTGAGAAGCTACTTCCTATGCGATGACAATTGTGAATGAAAATATTCTATAGTGGCTTAATCGGTAGAGAATCCCCTCATTTTGAAATATGAGCAGTTGTTTCACATGGCTTATGATTCCTGTCCTTGAAAACTGATTCTCACCTGAGCAGTGTTTTAAAAATATCTACCTATGTATCAAATTTTGTCATAGAAAGAGATTTCATTGGAATTATTAGAAACCCCACAAACATTTCTGAAAAGTACTAACTTGAGAAGATAACTGAGTTTTTGAAAAGGAAATGCAGTAGATTTAGTCTACCTGGTTTTCAGTGCTTGATACAGTTCCACAAGGGAAATTATTAGTTAAATTGGAGAAGATGGGGATTGATATAAGTATTAAAAGATAGATAAGGAACAGGTTAAAGAGGAGACTACAATGTGTCATGCTGAAAGATGAACTTTCAGGCTAGAGGGAGATTACTAGTGGAGTTTCTCAGGGATCAATCCTGAGACTAATCTTATTTAACATTTTCGTTACTGACCTTGGCCCAAAAAGCAGGAGTGTGCTAATAACATTTGCAGATGACACAAAGTTGGAAAGTAAGGCCAAAATGGAGGAGGACCGGAATATCATACAAGATCTAGATGACCTTGAAAACTGGAGTAATAGAAATGAGATGAAATTTAACAGTGCAAAGTGCAAGGTGATGCACTTAGGGACTAACAACAAGAATTTTTGCTATCAACTGGGGACTTTTGAGTTGGAAGTAACAGAGGAGGAGGCAGACCTGGGTGTACTGGTTAATAACAGGATGACTATGAGCTGCTAATGTGATGCGGCTATGAAAAAGGCTAATGCACTCCTAGGATGCATTAGGTGAGGTATTTCCAGTAGAGACAGGGAAGTGTTATTGCCTTTATACAAGGCACTAATGAGACTTCATCTGGAATACTATGTGCAATTCTAGTCTCCCATGTTTAAGAAAGATTAATTCAAACTGGAACAGGTGCAGAGAAGGGCTAGTAGGAGGATCAGAGGAATGGAAAACCTACCTTCCTTATGAGAAGAGCCTCAAAGATCTTGGTTTGTTTAGACTAACCAAATGAAGGCTGAGGAGAGATGTGATTGCTCTCTATACATACATCAGAGGGATAAATACAAGGGAGGGAGAAGGGAGTTTATTTATTTAAAAAGTTCACCCGCCCCGTTTTTTATTATTTGATCATCAGATCCGTAGTTTGCGATATGCAAACTTAGGCTGTGCAAGGGCTACATAATGCCTAAAATATTTAATCATTATTCAATCTTTTTTGCATTATGATTGGAGAGGGAAAGTCCACCACTCCCACCAATCCAGGGCCAATGAGCATGGATGCTGCATACTTTTCTCGTATCTGATGTTGCAGCTTATGAGCTGTAACAGCAGCCAAAACCTGTCTGTGTCAGTTGCATGGGATGTGGGGGCTACTGCAAAAGTATGGATCCTATGGCAAGGCCTCACTCTGGGCCCAGGACAGAGGCCAATCCTGTCACACATTTAGGGTGTGGAAGCACCACTGTATAGTTCCTCCATTAATGTTCCCTTTCCCTAGTAGCCCTATAATGGGGCTTAAGTGGTCCATATGGCCGTGTGCTGGCCTTCCACACTGTGTGAATTTTACCCCACTAAAATATTCATTAGAAGCAGCAGCAAATATGTCACTGTCAGCAAAAAACAAAAGAGAATTGTATTCTCTTCAATCAGTTTGCCTTATTTAATAAATTTACCTTCACCCTCAGCACAGAAAGTGATCAGCCAGCCAACACCAGAGGCAAATGAAGCTTGAATAGCATTCACAAAATTTCCTATTAAAAAAAAGCACAAAATCCATATCAATTTCTGTTTGATGTTTTGTTTTAAATATGAAAAATTATGGTATGTAAACTATGAAACGAACATGCTTATTAGCACAATTACAATTAAACTATTTTTTAATTTCAAGTATTGTGTGTGTGCACATGCACAAATTTCAACCTTGAGTAAGAAATACTGGGTACACACACTCAATTAAATGTATATATAATCCTGGCAACACCTCCTTATCTTAAAAAACAAAATAAAAAGATCAATAGCCCAAACAAGTTACATTACCTGCCCATAACTCTGTCACTGTGCTTGTGACATACTGCATGGCAAAACTCATTAAACTTTCCTTTGATCTGTCTCCATAATATTTTACTGGATTCTATAAAAAAAAAAAGTGTTAATGCAAAATTTAACTTATAGAAATCATTACACAGTAATTGATAATTGAAATTATTATTTACACTGTAGATGGACCTTGACCAAAATCCTAGAACCACATGCTTTCACCCTCCATCCCAAACTTTGGAGTTCAACCTTAAATTTGAATTTTGTGACTCAGGCCTTTGTCTAGTTTATATATGGCTTCCATTTAGTCCAGCAATACCAGGGTCATAAGGCCTCAGAAATATCAGTTCCCATAGTCATGTCTATTTGTTTAAAAGAAGTGAGTATTGTGCCAGTCTTCTGTGAATAAACATCTCCTCTACTTTAACCTCCTCAAAAGTTTACACATTCTCTCCACTGTAGCATTATGTGCTGAATGCTCAATAACCAGACTAAGTAGCATGCAGTACAGCACATTGCTACAGTGGAAGAAATTTTGTAAAAATAACATGCAGGTGTCTTTTAAAGGAATATTCTTAAAGTTTCTTAAGTTTGAAGCAGAGTATTGCATATATTTAAACATTATCCTACATTGTTGGAAACTCCAATACAGAACTGTGATAGAGGGCAGTGTGGCTCAGTGGATAGGGCACTGGTCTGGGTGTTCAAAGCCTTGTATTCAATTCCCGGATCTATCACTTACTCATTGTATAGCCTTGAACAAATCATTTAACCTCAGTGTCTCAATTTCCCCAAAATGGAAGAAGTGATACTTACCCTCTATTGCTAAATGATTTGAAGAGAACTGTTTGAGAGGTATTTATTTGTTTCCTCACTTAGTTATAATATAACATGATCAAAAGTGAAATTGGCTAGAGTAACTGGGCTGTTCACAGTGAATGAAAGTCCAAATTTTTTTTTTATAAAAGAAGAATAAATTAGACTATTATAAAGAAAAATTCTTTACCAGTATAGCATCAATGATAAAATGTATTTTAGTTTAGTATTCTTCCTTAGAATTCTTTAATTTATTTTAATTATTTTTATATAATATAAACACATAACAAAACACAAATACATGCACGAAATGGAAAGAGCATATAAACGTCCATTATTTACAAAACCTGGAAAAAAACAAAAGAGTGTAATTACTCACCATTCCAGTTTTGAAAACATAGAGACTTGGATAACTATTAATTCCTTTGATCCGACAAAGCATTCTGTTATCACCACAATTTACAGCTCCAATGCGTATTAGTCCATCCATTTCTTTAGCAAATTCTCTCCACTAAAAAGGAGGGGGCAAAAAAGAAAACTTGGGATATTTTCCTTTGAAAACAATTTTCAAAATTCTTCTGCTGTTGGCTTCTTGAATCAATGCTGTTTTAGGCTTTGGCTTCAGCATTCAAATCAAACTTGACAAAGTTTTACTCAAATTAAAAAGTGTCTACCTGAAATACATTTTCAGAATTAAGATGTTGACTGTAAATACATACCGTAGGTGCTAAATCATGGCAGTGTGAACATCGAGGGGAATAGAAATTTATGAACCAGAGTTCTCCAGAGTTAACAGCAGCATCTGGTTAACAAGACAAGACAAAAATATACTTAAGAATTGATAAAAGCTTCCTTTTAAATTTTGCATCTACGAGTAGTGTGAGTGTGAGAGAGAGAGAATAAATACACACCCATTTTAAGACCTGAGTTCAAGTGATTAGAATTCCCTGATTCAGTGGATATCAGTAATACCTAGTATAGTGTAATGACTGCAACTCCATTTACACTCTCACTGGCATATGCAGGACACATGAAAGGCATAACTGAAGTGAAACCACCTGCTTAACTATGAAATTTTGTTTACATGTAACTGAGCTAGTAAACACACTATAATAATTTAAACCCGCTAACAAATTAAACATATCACTTTAAATATTAAAAGGATTATAGAAAGTTAGTTACATTAACAAAATACAGACACTACCTCTACTCATCAGATACACGTTATCTCCTGCCAATCACTTGCACTCTTGCCATATGGTAAGTAATGATCAAACCTGAACCAAATAAAAATTCTGTTTCAAATAAGAGAGGTTTATTTTTACATCTGAAAATGCAATTTAAATTGCAGGCTGTAATTAATTTAATGTGCTTTGGTAAGGGGCCAACTACCTAATGACTAGTCTGAAAGGGGAGCACAGAATCACAGAAGCGTAGGACTGGAAGGGACCTTGAGAGTCATCTCGTCCAGCCTCAAGGCAGGACTATGTAATAACTAGACCATTCCCGACAGGTGTTTGTCTAACCTGTTCTTAAAAATTGCCAGTGACGGAGCTTCCACAGCCTCCCTAAGCAATTTGTTCCAGTGCTTAACCACCCTGACAGTTAAGAAGTTTTTCCTAATGTCCAACCTAAAACTCCCTTTCTCAATTTATGGCCATTACTTCTTGTCCTGTCCTCAGAAGTTAATGTGAACAATTTACTTCCCTCCTCCTTGTAACAACCTTTTAAGTACCTGAAAACTGTTAAGTCTCCTTTCAGTCTTCTCTTCTCCAGACTAAATAAACCCAATTTTTTTCAATCTTCCTTCATAGGTCATGTTTTCTAGACCTTTAATAATTTTTGTTGCTTTTCTCTGGACTCCCTCCAATTTGTCCACAACTTTCCTGAAATGTGGCACCCGGAACTGGACACAATACTCCAGCTGAGGCCTTATCAGCATGGAAAAGAGGGGAAAAATTACTTCTTGTGTCTTGCTTACAACGCACCCCCTAATGTATCCCAGAACGATGTTTGCTTTTTTTGCAACAGTGTTACACTGTTGACTCATATTTAGCTTGCAATCCACTATAACCACCAGATCCCTTTCTGCAGTACTCCTTCCTAGGCAGTCATTTCCCATTTTGTATGTGTGCAATTGATTATTCCTTCCTAAGTGGAGTACTTTACATTTGTCCTTATTGAATTTCATCACCTATACTTCAGACCATTTCTACAGTTTGTCCAGATCATTTTGAATTTTAATTCTATCCTCCAAAGCACTTGCAACCCTTCCCAGCTTGGTATGGTCTGCAGACTTTATAAGTGTACTCTCTATGCCATTATCTAAATCATTGATGAAGATATTGAATAGAACCATACCCAGGACTGATCCCTGCAGGACCCCATATGCCCTTCCAGTTTGACTGTGAAACACTGATGATAACTACTCTCTGGGAAGCTTTTTCAACCAGTTATGTACCTACCTTATAGTAGCTCCATATAACCTGTATTTCCCTAGTTTGTTTAAGAGGAGGTTATGCCGGACAGTATCAAAAGCCTCACTAAAGTCAAGATATACCACATCTACTACTTCCCCTATCCACAAGGCTTGTTACCCTGTCAAAGCATGTAAGTATATTAGAATACTCATTACTAAAGGGGTACGACTGACTTCAAATCATGTGGCTCAGAGTCCACTTTTAGTGGGGTTTTTCAGTCATGTTTTCCTATGTTAAAAATCTCTCTGCTGTTGCTGTGTGAAACACCTAAATGAACAGGGGAAATTGACTACAGTTCTGCTTCTGTAGGTGGCCAATGTCTCATGTGGAACTTTTTTGTCTTTGTGAGGTGCTATGTGGGTATAATGGTGTACCTCAGTGGTTCAAAGCCTAGCTGACTAAATAAGGAAAACGATACACAAAATGCTGTCAAACATATACAAGTGGAAAAACAAGGACTTTTCCCCAACATTCTATATTAGTTAGTTTATCTTTAGGTGTTACTTCTAACAAGAGAAGAGAAAAAGACTGCCATAGAAGTGAAATTAAGTTGGCTATATCCCTTTAATTTTTTTTAAACATAACTTTGTTTAAATTCATATATCCAGAATTTTAAAATGGAAGCTGTGATACATAGAAAATTATATTGTTTTGTTATAAAATAAATGTGTCATTAGTTTATCATTAACCATAGGTTAATTCACCACCTATCATAGAAGAGGGTGCAGGTCCTGGGCTGTTTTCCCAGTGACCGTGAATGGGGAACACCTGATGGGAGGGTTGGCTCCCGTCTTCATCTGGTGGACATCCAGGCTAGTGAGCCCAGGCCAGTTGGAGAACAGCTGCCAGTATGAATGCAGCACCTCTCTGATCTCTGCCTGCTGGGCAGCGGTTAGCTGGTCTGAGAGGGGAATTGATTCTGGCGAGGGGTCAGCTCCAACCTCAGGGTGCAAAAGGTTCTCAGAACAGTAGAAACACAGTGGTTCAATGGCATGGGGAAGGGGCAATACGGTGGTGGCAAAACAGGCGCACAAGAAGGCTCTCAGTACTGGTTCTGCAAAGCCCATCATAGCAGGGATTTGGGGGATTGGTTGGGTTCTGAACCACTGGTAACTGCATGAATCCAGTGATCACAAACACCTGAATATGAGGTGTACAAGAGTGATGCTGTGAAAGTGAATGCTGAGGGGGCATAGGGCTGTCCTGTATCTTGGTTGGAGGATGGATTTAATTCCCCTTTAATTTAAGTAATTAATCCTCATATAGTTCCGGTACTAACTCATACTTTTTTGGCATATATGCGTGTTTCATCCTAGATATAAGTTCTACTATATCTATTACACATTTGTTTAACAAAGAGTAGCAGCAGTAAACTTCATGCACATTTAAAGAATCTGAGCCAAAGTGTATCTAAGAAAAACAAGCTGTCCTCCTTCAGGTATCTGTATAAAAAGTCACTATCACATCCTGGCTCTAATTCATTTGTGTTTTGTCTTTTCTATTTCGTCTGAGAATTATTGCTTGTGCTATAAGATGTCAGCATGTTTGACTGAAAACTGCTGTCTTACTATAATGCTGAAGTATATTAAAAAAGATAGTAAAGATTTACTAATTTCTAGAAACTAATAGTAGATGATTGTGCGATGATTTAACTGGGAATTGATGATTTAACTGGGAATTGGTCCTGCTTCGAGCAGGGGGTTGGACTAGATGACCTTCTGGGGTCCCTTCCAACCCTTATATTCTATGATTCTATGAACACTGTCAATTGTCTGTGAGTACACACAGCATCTTATTTTGAAAACACATCAACTGTCTGTAAACACTAACAATAAATATGAGAGGGGAAAAACAAAAGCCGCCACCCACATCATTGATCAGTATGAGCTGTTTCCTGGTGTCTGGATTAAGACTTTTTATTTTTTACCTCAGGGAACTAAGACTTAAGAATGTCAGAATAGGAATCCTGTCAAATGGTATCTTCAAACAAGCAGAACTGCAGGTAAGTAGAACTGACTGAATTGCTAATTTTGAAGATCAGCTGCCTCTTTGGGATTGTGTCTTGAGCACACATCTCCCAAGAGTGAGAATTCTGCAGGATAATAAATCCAGAGAAACAAAATTACAAGGTAAATAATTTTCTCTTCCTTGAGATATTACACACTTTCTTTCAAATTTAATCTAAAAAGCTGACTGGCATTGATCTGCATAGCATTTGTTAATTGACCCAAGATGCTCAAAAACATTTTTCTCTTTGGATATAATATGCACGTTTTCTCTAGTGGTATTCTGACAATTTATAATCTATGTATACCATGAAAAAATTCAGTCTGAAAATAATATTTACACAATGTTAAAATATTAGAGAACCCATATGATTTGACGAACATACCAAATTCTCCTCTATCCAGTGTTATGATTTCAGGATCATCATCATAAATACCTAGTAAGAAAAAATACTAAGTCAGCAACTATTTTTCTTTTGCAATCTTTACATAAAAGAATCCAGAAATACTCCTATGCTTCTTGCTCAAAATGAAATTTGTAGAAAACAAATGATGGTGCATATTAGCAAGGTGAAAGATTTTACCATGTGATATATAGTTCAGTGGTTCATATAAGATTAATTTGGTCTCAGTTCAATTCCCAGGAGATAAATGTCCACAACACAATAGCCACCATCACAGCTGGGAACCTTTTGGCATCCTCAGCAGACAAACCAGTCATTGAGTAGGCATAGGAGACTGAACTGGCTGTTCACACAAAGACGTGGTGCATCTTTGTCACAGATGAGACACAATACGGAGTGCCTGATGAGGGTTTGAGAGGCCGCATGATTCAGTTGATAGAGCACAGCAATGAGACTTTCGAAACCTAAGTTCTAGTCCCAGGTCTGTCACTGGCCTGCTGTTTGACTTTTGTCACTTTCCCTCTTGGTGCCCCAAACCTCTCTAACCCTTTGTCTGTCTTATCTATTTAGAGTGTCAGCTCTTTGGGGCAGGAATTGTCTCGGCATGGTTTGTACAGTGCCTAACACAAAAAGCCCAAATGTCAGTTGAGGCCTCTAGGTACTACTATAATACAAATAAATAAGACAGAACTTCAGTATCCTCCAGAGTTATCAAGCCAGCACCATACAGAAGCAATAAATTCACAATAAAATCAAATAAAAATCCAGAAGAAAAAGTAAACAATACGCATAACTGTACATAAACTTAAAATGAATGTTCGATAAAAGTTAAAAATCTGACATTTTAAATCAACCACTTTTGTCAAGAAGTGCAGACTCAAACACGTGAAATTTTTAAATTATTGCAACCTCTAAAGAAAATTGAAATTACTCTCAATTTCATGTAATGTGCATGTCTCTGGTTTATTTAATTTAGGTGTACACAAACATTAAAGTAGTTCTTGCGGGGTTTTTGTTTTATAAAATGTTCCCTTTGTACTCTGAGTTTTTTCAGGGTTAGACTGCTTCAGCAAAATACAAGCGTAGGAATTCTCTCCTTCACTTGTGATGTTTTTATCCAATTCACCAAAATAGGGGCTCACTTCAGCTTCCATGTTTATGGCATGGTGGAAATCATCATTGCAGTCTCTCAGTTGCCTATTTTCCAAGTTAGCTACCTGTGTCACATTAGCTCTGAAAAGACATCCTGGCTGTCTAATTGCCAGCAAATATCTGGACAATTTTTGTTTGAAGAACTGATTTCAAAATCATATTTGGCATAACCCTATTGATCTGGTGTGTATGCTTACTTCCTGGTATAGTTACATTTATCTCCAATAAGACTCCATGGGAATTAACTGTTTTGCAGGATTGGACTCTTTATGTATAAAGTGTAATAAATAAATAAATGTAAGTTAGGGAGAATACTTGTTATGGGTTTCCAATATAAAAAAATCTGAAGGAATTAAAAAGATAAACACTCCCCTTGTATTAAGAAAATCTATTAGTATTTGATTACAAATGAACAAAGATAACTTATCACATATAATACACACATATATATACACACACTATAACTGAACAGTAAAATAAAGTGAATACTTAGTATAATGAGTGAATTTAATACTAAGCTGACTGTACTATTACTGCTGTTTGGTGGATTATTTTAACAAGATACCTTAATGCTAACACAGTCAGTAGGGAGAAAGGAGAAAAAAAAGACAGCTGTGGAGGCTAGAAAGAAGAAGAGAGGGTCTAAGAGGAAAGTATGTACATAGAGTTGGCATAGCCAACAATTTTGCATTTACTCAGGACTGTAAGAGAAGCAAACTACAAACACATATCTTACCAAAATCATAGCGATAAAAGTTCCAACTCTCATATCGACCTCCTTGTTGGTGATCTTCAAGACCTTTCTCTCCATATTTATCATACTTCTTCCGTAGCTCGTCATCTTTTAATACTTCATATGCTCTATTTATTTTCAAGAAGTTTTCATGAGCATCTGGATCATTCTATCAAAGGAAAACCACATTTACTAAATATTTGTCTAATGTAGAACTAAAAATATTAAATGAACTTTCAGCAATACATCTGTTTCAATGTCTCCATAACTATGAATGTTGTAAATTGTTTCTCAATGGAAGTTGCCATCAGATGGAAGCCTCCAAGCAAGACAACCAGTACTGATAATAAGGTAGAGTAGCAGAGAGAGAGTTCAACTCACATTTGAAGATCATCTAACAGTAACTTTGAAAGCCTCCTGCTTTTCTAATCACTCAAATGTGAGTTGAATTCTACACCAGACTGTCAAGCTAGCAAGTTTTCTGTTTGGTTTTTATTCTGTTTATTTTATACTTCAATATATTTGTGACTTATTTCCTTAGAATTAGATGTAGTGATTGCAATATGTTATTACAGTGCAATTTTCCCTTAAGAAAACATTACATGCCCTCTGAGGATTTACCATTTTCCTAAAGAAATAAAACTTGGGCACACGCTGGCCTTTGGCTCTACATTATTTGCATCTGTCTGGGGGCACAAAACAACTGCAGCTAGGAACTCCTGTGACACAGAAGCAATATCTGCCTCCCACTATACCTCCCACTCCTCTTTCCCATCCCCACTCAGGTGTAGGGGAAGTGATGGAGACAAGGTGGGCAGCCAGGGGTAGAGATGGAATATAACAGGGGTGACCAACCTGTGGCTCCAGAGCCACACGCAGCTCTTCAGAGGTTAATATGTGGCTCCTTGTATAGGCACCGACTCCGGGGCTGGAGCTACAGATGCCAACTTTCCAATTTGCCAGGGGGTGCTCATTGCTCAACCTCTGGCTCTGCCACAGGCCCTGCCCCTACTCCACGCCTTCCCCTGAGCCTGTGGTGCCCTCGCTCCTCCCCCAGAGCCTCCTGCATGCCATGAAACAGCTGATCAGGAGGTTCAGGGAGGGAGGGGGAGGCACTGATCGGTGGGGCTGCTGGTGGGCGGGAAGCGCTGGGAGTGGCGGGGGGAGATGATGGGGGAATGCTGATGTATTACTGTGGCTCTTTGGCAATGTACATTGGTAAATTCTGGCTCCTTCTCAGGCTCAGGTTGGCCACCCCTGGAATATAATGTTCTCCAGTGGTCCTTGGCTAGAGACGAGCGATCCTTTAGGGACAGAACAAATGATGTAGCTGGCACAATTAAGAACAATCCTTAGGCTTCCTTTAATTACATCAAGGACCATTTTGGCTTCTAGTATGCTCCAGAATCAGGGGAGTGGAAAGGTGGCTTACAACTACCTTTATATCCCTTCTCTTGGTCCTGTGCTGACTGAGAGCTCTAGCTCACCAGTATTATATTAATTCTCTCACCTTTCCCATTATTACTTAAAAACTTGCCTTAAATAACTACATTAATGTACAGCAATACTAAAAAATAAGTTATAAAGAGACTATTTCCCGCCTGATGCACCTGTACACCTGCTATTAACATTACAGGGCGTTACATGCATGAATCGATAGTGTCATCTAAGAGTCTACACAAAATGTATGTTTAATTCTGCAGAAGGTAGTCTGTTGAGAAATCTTTCTTACATAGTAATATTTCAATATTTTATGGAAATTATAGATACCACTTTGGAATCTTAATACTTTTGAAAGTATAAGTAGAGAGTCCAGTTAAAACCTATAAAGCAGCGGAGAGAGCATTTTAAACACTGTTAATAAGCTATTCTATTTCAAGTGACATATCAGTTATTGCTGAATTGCTCTTTGAGATAGCAAGAAACAACCACATATAATAGGTTACAGCTGATCCGTTTTTATCTTTATTGTGGGTGGAAAGGCAAAATAAAATTAAGTCTTCCTAATTAGAGGCTATATACTATAACATATTCCTCAACAGTTAATCCATGTTCAGTCACTCCTCTCTTCCCCATTGAAATGATAGTATATAGTCAAATACATATTTGCTTCCTTGACCCATGTCATAAATGTTTGGTGAAAGTCCTTCTCCTTGTTGTCAAGTTCAACAATATAGTATCAACTTTGGCATTTTAGGCCCCACTCCTGCAGCTTGCTCTGTGCAGGCAGATCACTGTGCCCACATGGACCCTCATTGACATCATTGGGGCTCTCTGAGGGTGCAGGGCTCCACATACATGGAACAAGTAGCAGGATCAGGGCCTTTGTATTGTCCTACTCCAAGACTTTGTCTAATTATTCCAGTAAATTTTGAGTATCGTATAGGAGAATACAAATAAAAAATGTTTCCTTACAGGGGTCTCTCCATTTCCCCTTCTCATCCACAGGCCATCCCAGAATTTTTGCTTTCCCCTTCTCAGTTTCCAAACAGGACTGACATGACACGGCCCAGCAATATTTATTACACTGATACAATTTTATAGTAAGAACAATAAGTAATAGTTAAAACTGACAGACGCAGTGTAATTCTAAATAAGAGAAAATGTATAAACTATCAAGCCTTTTGGCTTCAATGGCTCAGTATGACTTCAGTTCAACTTTGCCACAATTTACTAACATATCCACTTTTATTTTTGCTTTTCTTTGGAGGACAGTCAGCTAGTCTAAACTAAGTATTATGTTATTACATCACTTCAAAAATCTAAGACACAAAGATGTAAAGTTTCAAATTTGTTAAAAAGCAAATTAGTCCATTTTAAAGTTAACACTGGACGAATTAGCTCAAACAGTGCTAACTTTATCACAGGAACTCAAAGATTTTACTTACCTGATTTTTATCAGGATGTAACTTTAATGCCAGTTTTTTGAAAGCCTGTCTTATTTCTCTATTACTTGCTTCTTTGGATATTCCAAGTAAACTGTAATAGTCCTGATCAGTGCAAACAAGAGCTATCAGACATGTTAAAACTAAAAATAATAACAAAGTTCTTTTCAAATCTCTAATGCAGTCTCCTTTGAATAATAAGAACTCCATTATGAAGCTTTTAAAAAGTTATACAAGTTACAATTCAGACAGACTTCAAAGAGTGTATCCAATAAGTTCCAAGATGTTCAAAAGATACAGATGTTTAATTTAAGGACTTTTCTTTAAGTTTTTGGTTGTCATAATCCACAGTCACATGATAATTGCCTTGCAAAAGTTACAACCTGTAAAGGGGAGGGGGGAGGAAAAAGCCATTTAGTAAAGGTTTCACTATATTATATTGATAAGTTATTAAGAAACATTAACAGCTTTAGCAGAATGCACCCTAACATTAGTAACAGGAAAAATCAATCAACTCCTTTTGATAGTTCTATATAATGTAAGTGTTCGTGGTCATTAACTTTTATCACTCCTTCTCTGGTATGGGCTAATTCCGCAAAGCTTGACTCATGTGACTAGCCCCCACTGAGAGACATTAAAGCCTAGACCTGTTTATCATTTAGGAATATATTTATCTTCTGCTTGCTTTTCCTGACTCATATTTTTTCCCCTGTAGTCTCAGTCACTTCGGGACAGGAGGAGGAGATATTTCTGCATGTGGGCGCAAGTAGTTTAAAAGTAGTTATTTCAACACTGCACAATCCTTCATCCCAGGAGTGAAATGTGTTTCAATTCGACATTTAAAACCTCTTAAAAATCAAAACGAACCTAAAAACCTCCCTCATTCAAAGGGCTTCAGCTGGCCGCAGAGTCATGCAGCCTGTCGCGTACCTAGGTGCACGCAGCCTTGGGTGATGTCTATCTGTGCATAGTATATGTGGGCTATGCGGGTTGTGTGAAACAGGCTAGGACCAAAGATAGCTCCTTTAGCACCTTAACCTGGGGGGAGATTATACAACACTGGGGAGGAAGAGAGCAGAAGATGAGCGTGTAACAGACTGGGGAAGGAAAGAGGGAGGAGACAAAGGAGGGAAAGTAGAGGGCAGAACATGGGTGCAACAGGGCTAGGGACGGGCGGGTGGAAACGGGGAGAGGCTGTTGTGGAGGAGGCAGGCTCGGGATGAGGAGAAGATCTGGGACCGAGGGGAGGAGGACGGGGATGGGGAGAGGGAGGCGCAGGGCTGGCGGGTTTGGGGGAAGCAGCCTAGGCGGGGTAGGGGGAGGTTGAGGGCAGGAGGGGCGGCCCAGGGAGGATGCTGGTGACACAAGAGGAGCAGTGCGGGGACGAGGCAGGTTCACCCGGCTGCTCCTTCCCCGGGCGGGCCAGGCAGGCCGCGCTTACCGGTCTGTGTGGCGCTAGGCTCCCCGGCGGGATGCGCAGGAGCCGGCTGCGGGCAGGCGGCGGAGGAGGGGCCGGGCGCGAAGCAGCATGGGCCCGGGGAGGAGCAAGGCGGTGACCCGAGGCGGATCCGGCTCTGAGCCGGAGGCAGGTGGGGCCGGGAAGGCTGACGTGGCCGCGGCTCCTGCGTTGGGGCGGGGGCCGGGCTCGGAGCGCCGGGGGCGGGGCTGGCCCTGGGCGAGAGCCGTAGCCCTGCGGGCGCTAGCCCCGGGGCCTGGCCCGGCCGCGGGGAGCTGACCCGGCCCCAGTGTTGCGGTGTAACAGTGGGAGAGGCCCAGGCCCGCGTGTGCCGGGCTGCTGAACCCGGGGCTGGAGCGAGGATCACACAGGGGGTCGCCACCTTTTCCTTTCGGAGCCTCCCCCCCGCCCCCAAAATCTCCAGGGCCCAGCGCGGGGGGGGCGTCCTAGGTGCAGTTTGACTTCTACAGGGCCGCGGAGGGAGCGGCGCTCCCCTCAGCAGGTCACCCAGCCTGTCTCGGTTCGGAGAGTTGCCGCCAAAAATCATAAAGGGGGGAAGGGGCTCAGCTCAGTGGGGGTAGCTCAGACTGTGTGCGGGCGGGGGGGGGGGGTTGTTCAGGGTGCAGGCAGCGGGGTAATTGGGGCTGTGCGGGCGGGGGGGGGGTTGTTCAGGGTGCAGGCAGCGGGGTAATTGGGGCTGTGCGGGCGGGCGCGGGGGGGGGGTAGCTCAGGGTGCAGGCAGCGGGGTAACTGGGGCTGTGCGGGCGGGGGGTAGCTCAGGGTGCAGGCAGCGGGGTAACTGGGCCTGTGCGGGTGGGGGGGTAACGGGCTGTGCGGGTGGGGGGTAGCTCAGGGTGCAGGCAGTGGGGTAACTGGGGCTATGCGGGTGGGGGGGTAGCTCAGGGTGCAGGCAGCAGGGTAACTGGGGCTGTGCGGGCGGGGGGTAGCTCAGGGTGCAGGCAGCGGGGTAACTGGGCCTGTGCGGGTGGGGGGTAGCTCAGGGTACAGGCAGTGGGGTAACTGGGGCTATGCGGGTGGGGGGGTAGCTCAGGGTGTTGGCAGGGCAGGTAGCTGGAGCTGCCTGCACTCGGGGATAGCTCAGAGTGCAGGGAGAAGGGGAACGGGCTGCTGCAGGAACGGGGCCTAACTCTGTAAGTGCTGTAGCATGGGTAAGTATAGTGAGGGAGATGTGGGTTCCCAGGGAGAGGAAAGGTGGGAGCCTATTGGCCAAGCCATCTTTCTTTGCATGGCACTTGTCTCACTAGTGTTTGTTTCTTTTGGACAGTTTCTTCTAAGGTGAATAAGAGTTGTATAGATTCCTGAGAGTCATCACGAGAAACTTGCTCTTTAGTTTTTGAATGGGCCATGGAAAACTGAGCTTCCCAGTACCAAAGTGTTGCCAAAAATCTTTGGAATAGGGTTTGTGTAATTTAATAATTGCATATTGTCTCTGCAGAGACTTTGTTTTAAACAGCATCAGATAGGCTTATGTGTCCCTATCTGTATGAAAATTACTTAATTACTACTGTATTTTTCATAGACAAAGCTAAGGTTAAGTGAATCAAATATTTACACCAACAGAAGTCAAGTTGACAAAGAAATACAGAAGGGCAGTGGTTGCAAATGGTCTGTTAGCATGAACTTTGTGCGTCCTGATTCTTGTTGCTTGTGTCACAATCTTAGTTATTTTAACATGTTTTTCCTGTGAAGTATCTGGAAAAGAAAATCAGTAAGTCAGACCAAAAAACTCTGTGTGGCAGGGGGGCGGAAAGAAATTTGTTGTCAGATGTTAAAATGTGTGTTGTTTATCTGACAAATTTTGTTTTTTTGTAAATATAAACTTATCAGAGCCAAACTTGTTTCCAGCTTGGCTATTTTCACTTATAGGAAAAGATTAGCTTAACATGTTACATTGTCCTCTCAATTAAATGTTAACAAAGTAGCAGTAGTAAATACACTTTTAAAATCCTCCAAACTATAATAAGGGAAATGACAGATGTACTGACTTCATGGTCTAGTTACATGTATGCTGTTGAGTTCATCACTGGTCTATGTGTATACTGTCTATGGGTTTTTTGGACTGGAATAGGGACTTTGTCTTCATTCTTGGTACTAATTCACCTAGCACACTGATGATGCTGTATGAATAAAAATATATAATACATATTAAGAGAGAAAGCCCCTCTAAAATGACTTGACCATTTAAATGGTCAAATTAAGCAAGATTAAATTACAGCTAACCTTTTCCTTCCCTTTCTTTTGTAACTGAGGCCTCACTTATCAGAACATCATAATCACCATATGGAATAAATCTGTAGTCCATCTAGTATACTACCTTTCATCCAGTGCGTCACTGGGATCATGGATCAGCGTTCACGTCATGCTCCCCGTCAGTACCTGACCCAGGCCAGGGGAAGCTAATGATCCAATCAGCAGACCAAATTCGCTGATAAATCCTGGTCACATGCCAGCTGAGGCATGTTGTACATACACTAAGAAGAATGCCTCTTAGGAAAAGTTAAAGGTTCTCATGATTCACCTAACTGCAGTACCGTACTTTGGAAGTGGAGTAGGAATTTCTTTTGTTATCATCACCAGTGGTCATCAGTTTGTCTTGAAATATGACAGTTGAGGTCTTTCAACTTTATTGTAGTTCATGTAACAGCCAGTGCTTGCGTTATTCATGTAAATACCTATTCCTTTTGGGTTTTTATTAAAAGCATCTAACTAATATCCATGTAGTAGTTAATTATACAGGTTAATTATACTATATTTATGTTTTTTTAAAAAAGCTTTTTGTGTGTGTGTGTGTGTGTGTAGATTTTGAATGCCTGCATGGGGGAGTGAGCGTGGGGAGAGGCAATACTAAGTTAGCTCCAAAAGGAGTTTAACTTGACCATTTAAACAGCTAATTAATGGAATCATATATCCCAATTTTATCAGGATAGTCCCAATTTTTCATTTCATATATTGGTGTCCCGAAACTTTTTTCAAAATGCCTGAAATATCCTGATTTTTCATTTAATCAGTCAAAACATTCAGAATTTTTATGAACTTCAAAATATTTGTTCAAGATTTATTGTGATATTGACAAAAAGGAGCCGATTCTGGCAGCTTATAAGGGGAAAGGAAGATGCCACAATTCCCCTGGTGAAGGAGCAGCATAGCACTGCTATGTCTGGTGCTATGTTGTGCCTCTCACAACTCTGGCCATAGGGAGTGTGTTGTGGCAGAGGGGAAGTGCCAGAGACAGAAGTGGGAGTTTCTTTAGTGCTAATTGGTATAGGGATTCTGGGCTGCAGCCCAGCAGCCCATAGTTAGCCTAAGTAAAAATGCCATTAATAGAGCAGTCCCTATCTAGGGCTTCTCTGATTTACACTGCGGTGTGGGGGTAGGGGGCACATTGGCCCACAGCTGGTTTAGAATCCAGGCATTGATACTTGTACATTTTACATGTATTAAACAGTAGGTTTAGCTACAAGATAGTGGACACAAGTATTTTTATGTATTCCTTAGAAAGTTTTAAGTAGTATAATAAACACACAACTATGTAGTAATATAATTTAAAAAAAACAAAGCAGACAAATTACCAGCAGGGATTATTTTATAGTTAGAATAGATTATATAAAATGTGTAATTAAGCACTGACACCGTATAAAACTGCTTCTGTTTAGATATCCAAGTTGTTATAAAGTTACTTATTTAAAATATCCATGCAGTTTCTTTAACATTTAACCTTTTAAAGGAATTATATTTTTTTATTATTTACAGTCAACCATGATTATTATTAAAGAGCACTCTGTAGAAGAAGACTATCAGTGTTGAATGTTGACACATTTTATTTCCTGTCTTAAAATATTTTTTTCTTACTAATGGTTTAGAAAAGATAAATATATGAAGTGTTAATATTTGTTGAATTGCTCCTGTGGAGAGTGAAGGATTTTTAACATACATATACTATAGGTTGGAGGGAGTTGAACTTTTTCACTAAGAACTAAATTCATTCAGGTCTTTCCCTGTGTAAACCATATTTTTGGTAGTCAGTAGCTGAACATCTGACATGGGGCAAGGTTTTGGCAGTGCAAAGCATCTGTAAACTCATTTTGGCTGGGGGAACCAACATGACCCAGAATTGGATGGAGAGGGGTATGGCCAGAGCTACCCATCTCCTCAGTGACTCTCAGAATTCATGCAGAGCCCCTGCACAACTTAAAGCTTCAGTGGAGCCCAGCAGACCTTTCATAATCCTGTTTTGAACATTATCTCCTAGAAGTGGTGTCTTCCTTTGGTGTCTCAAGGGGGTAGAGTTTGGTTTGTGGTTGAAGAGTACCACTACTTTTCCTCCCCCTCTTCTAATTGAGGAGTTGGAGCTTCTTTGATACAAAGGAGAGGGAGCTGCTGCCAAGGTGTTCTTCATGAAGGATCTGGAACATTGGAATGTGCTTTTCTTCAACCTTGGTCTGTCAAAACTCAATTTCTTAGGTTTTGCAACATGCACAGAGGTTATTTCCCCCTCGGTGCTTTTGGGAAATAATTGAGGCTAGAGGAGGGCTTTGAGTTTATTTTGATTTATATTTGAACGTGTTATCAAGGAAGGATGAGCAGTCCTTGCATTGTATCATTATTTTTTTTAGTGTATTTTAATGTATACAAAGGTTGCCATGAGCATAGGATAGACACCTACAGAGGTTTTTTATAAGTCTACATAAATTCTAAAAATTAATTTGAACATGTTTCAAGATGAGCCCCATACTACAAAATGTGAATTTCAAACACCCCAGTTTCAGAGAGATTCATTTCTGAGCTTTTATTTTGATCCATTAAAAAGATAGGGGTCATCTGCAAAATTTGGATCCCTATCCAGGTGTAGATTTTGAAAACTCAATGAATTTGTACATGCTCATATTGGGGATTTTGGACTGGATACATATTTCATTATTTTTAAAAACATGATTAATTGACTACAAGGATCCATGTCAGCCCTATATAGGCTCTCACTCTCTCCCTATGTCAATACCTTCCCTGCTTCCATAAAGATATTCTCTGCATACCATTACAGGCATCCATGGGACACTGAACACAGGAAGTCTTCAGCTGCTGATACTTTCCCTCCTAATCTTTAATCATTGCC